TTTTGAATGAACCTAACAAGTAAAACAAAGACAAAATATATTAGTTAAAATAAAAATAAAATTCTATTAAAATTTGAGTTATGACAGTTGCCCCCTTTTTCTTTTTTCTTTTTTTTTCTGTTAAGAATGAAAAGAAAAGAAAAGACAAGAATAACTCAAAATTTTTTTTTTTGTTTTTTTTTTTAACACTTAAGCAACTAATCAGGTAAAGTAAAAACTGGTTGAATGACTAAAGGAGTAAAGTATGAGCATGGTCGAATGACCGGAACAGTAGAGTATGAGTATGGTCGAATGACCGAAAGGAGTAGAGTATGAGTATGAGTATGGTCGAATGACTAGTAGAGTATCAGTATAGTCGAATGACCGGAAAAGTGAAGCATAAATATGGTCAAATGACCGAACAAGAAAAGTGAAAACGGTTTTATAACCGGAACGGTCGAATGACCGAACAAGTAAAGTAAAAATGGTTTTATAACCACAACGGTCGAATGACCGAACAAGTAAAGTAAAAATGGTTTTATAACCACAACGGTCAAATGACCGAACAAGGAAAGTAAAAGTGGTGAAAGACGGTTTTATAACCACAATGGTCGAATGACCAAACAAGTAAAGTAAATGGTAAACGGTGATTGTAAATGGTGATTGAAAATAGTGATTGTAAAAAAGTGATTGTAAAAATGTGATTGTAAACAGTGATTGTAAGAAGGTGATTGTAAAAAGGGATTGTAGATAGTGATTGTAAAAAGGTGATTGTAAACAGTGATTGTCAAAAGGTGATGGTGATTGTAAAAAGGGATTGTAGACAGTGATTGTAAAAAGGTGATTGTAAATGGTGATTGTAAAAGTGATTGTAAGAGGTGATTGTAAAAGGTGATTGTAAGTGGTGATTGTAAGTGGTGATTGTAAACAGTGATTGTAAGAGGTGATTGTAGACGATTATATAACCACAATGGTTAAATAACCGAACACATGGAATAGCTACGGTCAAACGACCGAGCAAATGGAGTGGCTACGATTAAACAACCGAGCCGGTTGCATAGCAATGGTTATATAACCAAGTTAGTTGAGCAAGAAACGGTTTTATAACCGAGCAAATTGAGTTGCAACGGTCAAAGGACCAAGCAAGTTTGTGTTTGTGCTTGTGCTTGTGCTTGTGCTGGTGCTTGTGCTTGTGCTTGTGCTTGTGTTGCAACGTTCGAATGACCGAGTAAGAAACAATTTTATAACTGAGCAAGCAATGGTTTTATAACCAAACCAGAAACGATTTTTTAACCAAGTAGAAGCGGTTTTTTAACCGAGCAAGAAATGGTTTTTGAACCAAGTAAGAAACAGTTTTTTAACCGAGTAGAAATGGTTTTTGAACCAAGCAAGAAAAGGTTTTTTAACCAAGTAGAAATGGTTTTTGAACCAAGCAAGAAACGGTTTTTTAACCGAGTAGAAATGGTTTTTTAACCGAGTAGAAATGGTTTTTTAACCGAGAGAGTCAAGTTGCTACGGTCAAACGACCGAGCAAGTTGAGTAGAAACGGTTTTTTAACCGAGCAAGAAATGGTTTTTTAACCAAGTAAGAAATGGTTTTTTAACCGAGTAGAAATGGTTTTTGAACCACACAAGAGACGGTTTTTTAACCGAGAGAGAAATGGTTTTTGAACCAAGCAAGGAACGATTTTTTTTAACCGAATGAAAAATGGTTTTTGAACCAAGTAAAAAACGGTTTTTTAACTGATGGAGAAATGGTTTTTGAACCGAGCGAGAAAATTGTTTTTTTTTTTTT